TCAGCAAGTCGAAATCCATCAATGCAAATGAAACTTTTTGAACATGTTGAATTCCACTAATAATTGTGTATTATACCACAGATGGCATTCACCACGTCGTTTGTAGTACTTTATGACTTTCTTGTTGTTACAATACTTCACATAATTAGTACTATTCGCATCTTTGTGTTCGATAAATCCTTTTGTTCTTATTGTATGGACCATGATTATCCTTCAGCCCTTCGATATTTTGTAAATATCTGAAGAAAATTATGAAAATGCCACAGAATACGGCCGCTGATATGACTTATCGTTCCATATTCTACTACAAGCGGCGTTTAAGGTCAATTTACCTTCTTATTGTACTTTGAGTACCATCCTACGATCTATAATTTTAATTATTATTTTGTATAAAAGATTTTGACTGTATTCTGACTTTTTGATATCAGTATCTTATTAACCGTAGCACAAACACTGCCCACAGTAGCATAAAAAAGAGCGAAAGCGTGTCCTATAATTATACCACGATATAAAGTTCGATCCTGAAAATACTTTTATTACAGGATAATTATAGGAAATAAAAGGAAATAAAAGTGTTCTGATGTAGCTTTCTGATTGTACGACATAAGTTAGTTTTAATGGGTGATGTGTTTGTAAATGACAGGAATAGCTAATTTGTGCTGCCACAAGGTAAACAGCAATTCACTTCTACTTGTTTGTGAGGATAACACTGACAAATGCACGAAAATAACACCTTTGAGAAACAAAATTACTTATTTATGTATCAACACCTGAAAAAGTAGGCAATCAATATATCGATACGTACCTTTTTGTTTGTTCCATCAGTAAGGTCTGATCCAACGGTGGTTTTACAACCATAACCTTTAATAAAATTTTTACTCTATTGTCTCAAAATCATACCTAATAAATAAATTAAGATTGTATCCGACCATCATATAATAGGGTTCCGGAGCCATTTACCATTTTCAACCTCATCGTCATAAGGTCGTCATTCCTAAGACTGGTTGGACACGTTCCTGCACTCTTTCCTATCCTGAGCTAATCTTCGCATTTCCCTAAAACTACAACAACCCACATCCTTAACTATTTGCGAACACTAATCTAATCTAGGTCTACCTCTACTTTTCTTAACTCCTGTTTCTACCTCTAATATGTCTCTGACTAGACCTTCATGCCTGAGAAAGAGTTCTACCAACCTATCTCGCATGTTTCTTATTTCTTTTTTCCTCGTTATATTTTCCGTTACAGAAAAAACATTCTGCGTCTTTGTCCGTAGGGACAGTAGTCTCTTGTTGCAACATCTTCGGAAGAGTCTGTGTTATTTCCAGATATAGCCCCAGGTCCCCAATCGGGTCTGATGTCACTGTCTGTCATATTTATTTTCTTTGTTTTTTTTGTTATTTTCGTCTTCCCTTTTCCCTTTTTCTGTGTTCTGTTTTCTTTATCAGACTTTTTAAGTTGTGTACTCTCAAGGACTTTTTTATAAGGACAGCTAATACTAATACTAATACTACTCATAAAAAAGTGCATGTAATTTGAAATATTCCAAATTATGCTCTCTTTCGGTATTCCAAATTAACCACATACCATCGTAACCTAAAATTCCATATCACATTTTTAATTCTAGATTTATTTACAAAATCATGGTAACATCATAAACTAACAAGGTCACTTAACAGTTTAAATAAATACGATGAAGATTTAAAGTGTTACAATCAATGATTATTTATCGCTGATTGCATTCTTACCGAAATTTTTTTCAAAGCGGGCGTCTTGTTCCCTTGTGGCTGGTAGCCGGAATGTCAAGATGGCGTCCTGTTTTTAATACTCGATGGCTTCGTGTGTCGTATGACTTTATGTTTACTGCAAAAGAATACAAATGGCGTTTATAATTATTTAGATATCGAAGTATTCCAAGTTACCTGCAGTATCTCAAATATGCTGCAGTTCCTCTACAAACTACCTCTGGTTAATGAGGGAAAATTTGTTGTTTGAGGTAGTTTGTAGTGTGTAAAAAATTGAAAATGAATTTTCATATGATTGCATTTATATGAGTCGCTAAGTGAAGTAATATTTGTTCAAAAATACGTGAATCGGGCAAGTCAAGTGAGGTTTTGAGCTAATTATTTTTCAATTAGTTACAAACCGTAATAGAAACTGTTAATTGAATAATGTCGATGTATTTGTGAGAGGTCAATAAAACATCGCTACGCCTATTCGATTTACCATTAAAAATGGAAAGCACGCATGAATTAGTTCACTTTTATTAGTGTTTAATATCTAAAGTGTAATGTTTGCCGCTAGATATTAAATTTTGAAGTAGCTTTTATTTGGGACTTTAATATACGCCTAAATTTGTAGTTATATGACTTTTTAAAGTCCTATTCAGTGCAAACTATTTATAAAATGCGATAAAAGCTCATATTTCATTAAAATTCTGTTCACACAGCAAATAGATAAGGAAAATGTTCCACTTCTCACCTTATCTAAACTTCAATAAAGCTTCATATTACGAAAACGTGATATTTCCGTTACTTCGTTACCACAATATCATAATGAACATTGAAAATTCTCTGAAATGAAGTAATTTATTTTGGGAAATTATTCATTAAATGTCTAACACACGAATATTATCAAAATGACAAATACAAAATAAACACCATAAATTCTCTTCCTAAATCAGAACGAAATCGGTGCAACTATCTTCCATGATGAAAAGATACGAATTAATTTTATGTCAGATTACCGAAAAAAAAGATCTCAGTTTTCACTTCCGATGTTGATAACAATCCAATGGTAATTATACGATTACTTTATGCCATAATAATTTTATATAGAAAATTAGAGTATTATTGTACTTCTGAGAGAAATATGCGCCATCCATATAGACTGCATGAAGCAATCAGATCGATACTTACTGAAGTTAACTTTTATTTATCAAATACGATATAGGCTACTCTCTTTAGCTGAAGGTTACATCGTTTTCATTACCGTCAAGTAGTGTTATGCAGTAGAGATGAAATAGTACACATCAGTAGCAAGTATTATACACCAAGGTTTAAGGTTAGGTTATGGTAGGAAGCGCAAAGGATTTAGGTTAGGTTATGATGAAAAGCTTTATGATGGAAGATTTAAGTTAGGTTATGGTGGAAAAGATGTCCCTGTCTGGCAGAACGTACTACGAGCTAGAGATAAGCACTATGCTTTAAGAGATTAGGTTAAGTTATGACATGGGGATCGCTATCAGTAAAGTGAACCATGAACAAAGATACCCATCCGTCCAAATTTGGACGGATTCAACTACAGTCAAAATCTATAACGACACCGAAGGGACTACTCATATTTGGTCGTAAAAGCCGATAGTCATAATAGCCGGTGACGTTGTTATTAAGTACTTAATACTTATTATTGAATGTGTGATTAATATATTCATATGTAAAGTAAAACTACATTTTATTTATTTTACATAAAACGTATTATAAAAAGACATTACGTACGTCTAATTANTATTTTACATAAAACGTATTATAAAAAGACATTACGTGCATATAATTATCATTTTTCTATATTAATAAATTTTGGAATTTTAGTCCGTTTGGAACACTTCTGTCGTGCGTACACACTTTGTAGTTCACGTTTAATTTTAATTAATGTATCATCATAATTTCCCTGCATATGAAACTGTTAATTAGAATAAAAAACAATTTTTCGTAATAAATACATTGGCAGCATTGAGACCATCATTCAAAGTTGGCACTGTAAATTGTTCTTCAGACTCTTCCTGTTCGTCATTTCCCTCTTGAACTTCTGGTACAATATCATCTTCCGTAGCTGGTGCACAAATTGCAATAGAGTTATCTGCATCAATAAACTCCTTAGCTTCAGTAGTAGATATTCTGAGAATTACAATAGACCATAAACTCGACAGGTTTTTGTTTACTTTTGCGATCTTAATGGTCATTTACTGTACCAGATGGGGATACTGTTATCTATTCAAATGTTTACAATACAGCTGGTCGTTCTAACAGATATAATTCTCCGAAAATATCAGTTAAATGTAGTCGCTTAAAGAGATATGTCGTAATAAGCAATGTCGTAAAAACCAGTGCTTTTTATAAGGCGGTCTAACAGAATTAATACGGGGCCAATGATTTTGGTCAATATATCCGGTATGTTGTTCTAAACGATGTCGTAGTAAACGGTTTTGACTGTAGTTTTATATAACAACTACTTTTATATAGTGCAACTGAAAGCATATTACACCTCATCCGTCTAAATTTAAATCACCATTCTCTCATTTTATCATTCTGATATGAATTCTGAATATATCAACGGTTTTTGAAATTTACACTTACACAGAAAGCTAAGACGAATAGTATTACACTAGCATGCAGTTACTGTAGTTTTGTACGACGTCTTTGTGAACGAATAAAAGTTTTCACGTTGAAAAGAATTGCACGCTCTCCAGAGAGAACGAAAAAGCAGTGGCACAAAATGCACTCAGTAAAAAAAAAGGAAAAGTATGAGGAGTTAGCCAATGAAATTGTGCAGGAGTGAGGATTTAAATTGCCTGGAATTAAAGAGCCTTTAGAATTTAGAAATTAGAGAAATGACTCCAACTCCATTATTCTACCTCACTCTTCATTTTACGAATGCAAAAAATAGTACTTATGTATAAGTAGATACTTGGAGTTTTTACCTCTTTTATGTTAAAAACTTAAAACTTTTTTATTACAGATATCATTTTCTTTACCCTCTGCTCGACAAAAAAATGTCTATACAGAAATAAATAAAATTATTAACAATTTTGTGCTGATGAGATCTAACGAAGTGTTTTTGTCTTTGCATTGATGTTATTAATACGAATGCCATCTAGAAGTTAATCAAATTTTGTCATAGAAATACTATGTTCTAGTTATTAACAGGATACATTTGATTAATGATCTTAAAATTGCTAGTTTTGTTTCCAGTTAACTAATATTCTTTCCTGTTAATTCCAGATTTTGCGTGGAAACAGCAGCGACGTCTGCGAATCCCGAGACCCTTGTCAGCATGATGGCATTTGTATTTCAACTGACAACGGTCCAATTTGCGAATGCCGAAATTCCGAGTACGAAGGAGTGTTTTGCGAAAAAGGTAATTCAGTTCAATTTTAAAAATTCCATTCATGTTAAACTTGTTTGTACGCAGTTCAACAAAAAATTTTGTATTGACTTTAACCTGAGTAGTTGTTTGTCGTTTTGATAGATGTTGTGTATTTTTGAATAAACAAAACTCTAACAATACATTTTTTACGTGCCTTCTTCTAACAATGGCAGACAAATCATAATTTTTAAAACCGTACATGGAAAAATTTGTTTTGATGTTCGAAATGTTATGCGTGAAGCATATGTAATCTCAATATAGTGAAACCGTTTACAGCGATATCGCATAGAACGACGTACCGGATTTAACGACGAAATATAGAGGTTGCATATACAAAATCTATTCAAACATCGAAATTGGAAGGTTGTTCGGTAATACATCGCTTAAAATGGCGTGTTGTCTATAGTGTGCTCTATATCACGCCTTTCAAAGTATTGTACCGGCCATAACGTCCGAAGTTTGATTGTTTAAAGTGACGCTTGTGACATTTACATAGTGAATGATCTTAGTTTTCCACGACAATAAAGATAGGCATTGTATTTCCATTGATCATTCAAATTTTAATCGTGTGAATTTTATTTTTGGACGACATACGTTAGGCTTACGCTTTGTTCAAAACGTATTTTGAAAGATCGGTTAGTTTAGGACAAATTTAAGAGAAGCACAGGTGATATTTTCAAATAGATGTTAAGGAACCTTATTTGTGATATGCCGAGGCAGGGACTTTACGGCATAAACATTTTCATATTTTATTGTACCTTTAGTGTAAATTATATTGTTATTGGACTTGGAAATATTTCCGAAATCTACGGTCACATAGGCAAATTCGCAGAAGCACAAATGAGGGTTTATCCCATGGTTAATATATTGTGCATTGGTATTACTGTCAATAACCTCGTTATTGGGAGGGATAATTGGTCGATTTCGGAATCTAGTGTACAAAATTTTAAGTTTGATAGAATAGTTCTTTTGTAGACTGGCTGAGAGTAATTAGACTTTAGTTATTTTCATAAGACACTAATAAAATTCAAGTCGTTATATTTATAATAAGTTAGAATAGGTCGTAGTTGTAAGTTGTACAATAAATTCGTTATATTTACAACTCGGCGTTTCTATGGTCCTTCGAATTATATATGTGGTACAATTGTACAAAAAGTTCGAATCAATAATTTGAATATTTCGAACGTAAAAAACAATAGATGTGGTTGAAAAAATTTATTCCACAAATTTACCAAATTATGCATTTTCAATATGTGGGGAAAATTCTAAAAGACTGAAGAAGTTTATTGTGGCCCTCTCCACATGGCTGAATATACAGTAAAATGTTTATGACTACGGAATATCAAAAGCTCGTTAATCATTAATTTAAAGTAATTTGTAGTGGATAAAAATCAAACAAATTTTCACAAATATTAACCGCTATTAAAAGTTTATTAAAGTATTTCATATGATATCAATATACATATACATTAGTTGGATGAATCTGTCACCTAATACGAGGTCTGTTCAAAAAGTATCGCGAATTTTAAATTAGGTTAGGTATATAGGATTTTTGATTTTTTGTGTTGGTACTCATCTCTCACTTATACCGACCAGTTCGGTTATGTAGAAGTTCAGTTAATTTTTGACACCTGCTTTTCTTGTACGTATTTGGCTCGTCTTCGATTTTCTCCTTTTCCAAAATGTGGCTCAAAAAATCTGTACCAAATTTTGTGTGAAAAATAAAATTAAGTGCGCGGACGCATTCCGAATGTTGACTGTGGCATATGGTGAAGTTCCCATGGAACCGAAGCAACGTTTATTGGTGGTAGAAAATGTTCTCAGAGAAGATGTTAACGACGAAAAGCGTGCAGGAAGCCCAAGGACGTGAACGACAGGCGAAAACATTGTTGAAGTGAAGAAAATGGTATTGACCAATCGTCGAATCACCGTTAGAAAAGTTGCTGAGAACCTAAACATATCGATTGGCTCCTGCCATTCGATTTTTACCAATGATTTTGGCATGAGACGAGTCGAGAAATTGCTCAATTTCGACCAAAAATAGCATCACATTAACATTTATTTACTCCAGAGGGTCATAACTGGTGACGAATCATGGGTTTATGGTTATGACGTAGAAACCAAAGCTCAATCATCCCAATGGAAGTTGCCGCACGAGCCAAGACAGCAAAAAGCGCAACAAGTTCGGTCGAATGTGAAGGTTTTGCTTACAGTTTTCCTCTATTTAAAGGGTGTGGTGCATCATGAGTTCTTGCCACAGGGTAGAGCGGTCAATAAGGAATATTACCTGCAAGTTATGCACAATTTGCCCAAAGCAATCCGCCAGGAACGCCTGGATTTGTGGAAGAACAAAAATTGGTCTTTGCACCATGATAACGCCCCTGTTCACACATCGTTGCTTGTGCGAGAATTTTTGGCCAAAAAACAACACACTAATAATGCCGCAGTTACCGTATTCGCCAGATCTGTCCCCCTGTGACTTTTTCTTGTTCCCGAAACTGAAGAGGCCCATGAAAGGACGATGCTACGCTACGATTTAGAAAATAAAGACGGAGGAGCTGAAAAAGTTCACAAGAAATGATTTTTGGAAATGCTTCGAGAATTATAAAAAACGTTGGCACAAGTGTATATTATTTGGTGGGAATTACTTTGAAGGGTACAAAATAGATATTCATGAATAAATCAATAATTTTTGAAAAAATACAAAATTCGCGGTACTTTCCGAACAGACCTTGTATTTGTTTTTGTCGCTGTTGCTGCTGCACCTATCATAGCTTAATGATCAAACATTGGTGCGTAAAGCCAAAAATTCCGGGTTCGATTCCCGACGAAAGTGTAACAGCGCAACAATTTTCCTAATTAATTTGAGGTACATATATAATTTGTACTAGGTAAAAATTAATTGAATTTTCGCATAGATATTATTATTTATATTTATTACTTTTGTACCTCATTTATAGCTCCGTCTATTTTCGATTTTTTTTTATTTAAGTAGGTTCCAATTTCATAATGACATACATTTTCTCTTACGCTTCATCTTTTTTTAAACTGCCAAGCTGTAATAGATTACTTCGATTGCGTCACTTTATCGGTTCCCTTTATTTTCGAAACGTCGTTTTCCGGCAATTTCCGTTACATCAAGTATTTTAAATAAGGTCAGGTTAAGAGGCTGTAGCCTTTTAAGATAATGTGAAAGAATCTTTCATCTCGATTCGTTCGCGAATTGAATCGGAACATTTTGTTTTTGCTAAAAGCAGTAACGGCAAACTGCAGACAAGATAAATAGAATTATTCGAAACCTGTAATTTGGTCAGTAAAGTGGATTCGTTTTTACCGAATTACATCCGCTGTGATTCGGGTCACGGATTAGGTACATCAATTTGCAAACTCTTGTTCGGGAGCTGGCGTTAACAAAAGGCAGGCATTTAACATTTTGCCATTCGTTCTTGATAGCATTTTGTTTAGGAAAACCTACTAAATCACCGTTTGTAATGAAATTTGAATAGATGAGGCTCTTTGCTCTTGCTACTCCATAATAATAAATAAAAACACGAACATTTTAGTTACAAATTATAGTTATTCTTTTCAACAGTATCTTTTTTACGCAATTCGTATACTTCTCCCTCAAATAAATTCAGTTTTATTCCAAATATAATGCTATAAAATTAAAATTATCTCTTTGTTCACATAATTGTCCCATCATCATTATCATCATAAGGTCGTCAGTCCGAAGACTGGTTGAACACCCACCTTCAGTCTTTCCTATCGTAAGCTAATCTTCGCATTTCCTTGAAACTAGAACATCACACATCCTTAACTATTTGCGAACAGTAATCTAATCTAGGTCTACCTCTACCCCTCCTAACTTCCGTTTCTGCATCTAATATGTTTGTGACTAGACCTTCATACCTAAGAAGGTGTCCTACTAACCTATGTCCTCTATTTAGGTATTATTGACTTCTGTAGAGTCCTCTGTTCTTTTACTTTTTCTAAGACCTCATCATTCACCTGTAACACCACATTTCGAACGCTTTTAACCTTTTTCTTTCCACCGCGCACATTGTCCATGTTTCGCACCCGTACGGCGCCATGCTCCAAACATACACCTTTAACAACCTTTTTCGAATTTCTAAATTAACCGTTCGCGAGCATAGAACTGACTTCTTTTTATTGAAGGCGACTCGACCCTGCGCTATCCTCTGCTTTATATCCCTACTACTCCTTCCGTCCTGACTTATCTGACTTCCTAGATACCTAAAATTGCCCACTTCTTCTAATTTTTCGTCTCCTATCTTTATATTCGCTCCTTCTCTACTTTTTCTTCCCCTGCATACCAGTATTTTTGTTTTACTTTCATTTATTTTCATACAGTACTGTTTTGGCAATACCGCTTCCATATTATCTGAAGCTATCTCTAACTCCTCCTTGCTAGATGCTAATACTGCTATATCATCTGCAAATCTAAGAACACTAATCTTTTGCCACTGTATATCTACCCGTACAGTTGTACTGTCTTGAATGATGTTGATCTCGTCTTCGATGTATAGATTAAACGTCCAATATATGAGAATTTCAGATTTTACTTTTTTACTAATATGTTCCTTTACTCTATATTCAAACGACCTACCAGTTTGTCCTGTACCCTTTATCACAATATCATCATGGTTCAAATATGTATTAAGTGTTACATCTATTTGTACTTACTTATAAGTGCAATTTATCTTGAATTATCTTTATGCGGTAAATGGCCATTTAACAAATTCAGATGAGAATAATCTAATTTAAAATTGCAGTTTTTCTTCTAATTCGATGAAATTTTATGTTGTACATACATTGTTCTTCTCATTTTAATCGAATTTTCTACGGCATTCCCTTTCTATTTGCTCGTTGACCCACATGTAATCCCTTGGCAATTATTTCTGTTCAAAGCAAGATTCGTTCCAATGAAGATTCTGCACCACAGCATATGAATTGTTTTGGCTCGGCCAACC